GCTGAGGATCGCGCGCAGGGCTGAGAAGTTATCATGTAGGACATTGGGGTATAGGGTAGGTTTCCTGCAGCTTACTGCTGTGATGATTATGCTTGCTTTTCTGGTAAGACATGTTGCTCAGCCATTGTAGCGACGGTTTAGAGTTTAGGGTGTGGTTTAGGGGTTAAGGTGTCCCTTCATGTTTGAGTACGGTCTCTTCGGGGAACGGAGTTACTGCACCTGGTGTGCTTTTCGCATGTGCCATGTCACCCTTGACACCCAGGTGCTACTTCCAGTGCTGCAGCTGCCAGTGACGGCAAAGTCTGCGGCGGGGACAGGTTACTTGGGGGAGTCTTCTGAGAATATGTCAGGAAGAACCTACTAGAAAGTCACGTCCACTCCCCCACCCCATGCGCAAGGAAAATGGCAGGCTTTCCGTTCAAGCTCGAGGTGTAAAGCCCAGAAGCACCAAGGATCAAAAGCTGCCACAGTAAGCAGCAGGAAGCAATCGGACAATTCTAGGAACCAGCTTATTAAGCGGACATCTCACCTTATAAGTGAAAGCTCGAAACCACCAATTCCTCGCTTCCAAAATATGACCAGCGGTTCCGGGCTAACCCCAAGGGTCCAAGTACCTAATAATCATATAACCTCCAAAATCCTAACCTACACAACTACTACCCCAAAACCGAATACCTAGTTGTAAGGCCCCTATATTATAGAACCCTTGTAGTAGCCGTTGACCCCTTTAAAGGAACCCTAAACCCTATTGGGTCCTTTGGACCCTTAGGCTAAGGATCGAGCTTCATAGCTTCAAAGCCCGAAGGCCCCAAGGTAAGAACCGGCGCAACAGCCAGAGGTGAAGCCCCGTGAACCCAGAGACCCCAATATCCCTTGCTAAAAAGGAACGTATACCTTAAATTATACTAGGATCCTTAATATATGATTTAAGGCCAAAACACGACAAAACGCCTGGAGAGAGGAACCCTACTTGGAGGTTCATGGGTAGTTAGAAGTGGGGCTATAAGTCCCCTAATCTTGGTTGTACGTATAGTTACCCTACTTCTAACCCTACTTAAACTTATGACTACCCATGAACATCCAAGTAGACACTAAACCCTATACCCTAAAAGAACCCATATAGATCCCGATAAAGGGACCCTTACAATAACCCTTATAACTACCCATGAACCTCCAAGTAAACCCCTATATACCCTTATGGTACCCATATAGTGTATAGAACCCTTCCGAGGAACCCTTATAGTACCCTTTGAAGGAACCCTTGTAATACGTGCAAGTAGGCCCAAACCATGGATGTAAGCCCTAGAGTGACCTTTCGGCCTTTAGGGAAAGACCTTTGTGGCTCTCTTAGGGTTTAAGGTTAGGGTTTAGGGTTTAGGGTTCAAGGGCTCGTTCTTGGACCCAAAGATTGAATCGGATCAGCCGACGCTAAACGTATATCGAAAACCTACAACCCTACTTCTACCGTAAACTAGAATCCTGCAAATCCGAAACTGGAACCCGAAATCATATAGTAGAAGCCAGAAAGTTGGAACATGGCTTTCGGAGGATTAGTGCTCGGATCCCTTATACTTAACCTTAAGGGCATGGAGATAATGGTGTTCCAACTTTCTGGCTTCTACTATATTCTCCCAAACTGGATGTCAAGCTCACGAAAAAAGCTGGGGCACAGGCAGCCAATAGTTTCGGGCTTCGTTCCGTGTGTAGGTGTAGCCTGGCTCTGCGGTGATCTAGCGCCATGGAAGTTAAGGCAGATGTGGGAATCCTGGTATTGCCGGGACAGAGGGGGACTTGAAATAGAAGGATTCTCTACAAACGCATACATGCTGGCACCTGGAAATCCTGACCTTAGGAACCCTAAGGACGAGTATTACAAGTACTTATGAGTCAACCCTAGCAACCTAACACAAACGAAGAAGGAATACTTCATGAAGTTGACCCCTGTGTCCGTCAGCCGTGCCGGCGACGCCCAGGTCGAAGATCAATCCTCCGGCCCCTGGCGGTTGGGGGGGTTAGGGTAATGAAGGGGCCTTGATTAACAGAATAAGTTTTGGGGGTATATCATACTACAACCAGAACACGGAACTACACATTATTCATTAGTACCGGCAATCCCTAGCACACCCATATGATGTTGTTGCTCGTATGTCTTCTTGGAGTTTGCTTGGGCTTCTTGGAGTTGGTGATTTGGTGTTTTGGCTTAGGGTTTAAGGTTAAACCCTTAACCCGATTTAGGGCCCCAGAAAAGCACATAAGCAACAATTAGGATAGAGATATCCCATATAGACCCCCTTATAATGAAGCCAAGTAAGGCAGGGATATCCCCATAATATGCTTATGCTTATGTGCTTCTGGGAGTCCCTAACTGTTACTTGGAGGGTCGGGGGACTTAGTAAGTAGGTAGTAAGTAGACTTATAAGTACCCTAAAAGGGACCCTAATTGGGGTTATGGTACTTATAAGTCCCTAAAATAACCAGTTACTAAGTCCCCCAAACCCTAAACCCTAAACCCTTACAGAATCCCTATAGATCCCTTTAAAGGGGCATTTAAAGAAACCCATTATAGTTTCTAAGTCCCCCGACCCTCGAAGTAGTGTTCAAGAGGGGCGTCTAGAAGTCCTTGGGTTCGCATTTGGGGGTTTCCGAAGATTTGGGGGGTACCTTTAAAGGGATCCTTAGAGGACTTCCTTAAAGGGATCTATAAGGGCTTTATAGAGGGTTTAGGGTTTAGAGTTTCCGAAAATCTGGGGTACCTTACTTTGGGGTCCTTATAACAAGGATCCTGCTGTTTAGGGAACCATATTAGGATCCCCTATTTTCGGAAACTCCCGTTTAGCATCTCACTTGCACTTCGGACTGGTTTAGGGTTTCTTTGTTGCTTGGGTTGACGCTTTGGGGATTTCGACTTTAGGGCATGTTTGCGGGATTTTGGGATTTAGCGTTTACGGCTTCGGTCGTCCAAAGTACCAATATAGTACAATGTAGGGTTTCTATATTAGGAATTACCATTATGATTTGGGGAAGTATTCCCCATAACAGTGCATAGGACCCTTTGGGTAGATTTAGGGGGCTGCTGGCTTCGGACGCTCTAATATAGTGGCCTCAATAATTCGAAGAGGGTTTGGGGGTATACTATGATACTATACTCAGAATAAGGAACCCCCCCCGACAAAAAAAAGTAGTAAGTGTTGAGGCCCCTATATTAGGCGGTCTTTGGGTACTGTAACGCTTCCACAAAGCTTGTAGATAAGGGCTCCGGGATTCTACGTCATGGCTTTCGGGCTTTATATAGGTTCGGTGAGGCACAGTCCGAGGTCTAGTGCTCGTTGACGAGGTTCGGGTTGAGGGTTAGGGTTTCGGGTTCATTGTTGAGGGGTTTAAGACTGGATCGCTTGTGCAACTCACAATCATGGAGCCGCATTACATAGCAGGGAAGCCGGAGCATCCCGTCATGAATGGGTAGTTGTCAAAATTAAGGTCCCTTTTTGGGGTAGCCTAAATACTAGGTGCTGTACTATAATAGCGACCCAAAAAGGGACCACAATTTTGACAACCACCCGAATGAAAGTCAACGAACTGTTCCAGGGCACGCGTGGGGTCTGTACGATCACAACTGCAAGTACTAAGATGGTGCTTAGACAGCTACAACACCAACGAACGACACTTGTTATAAGGGGTCTGAATGCCCCGATCATCCTTATGGAGTTAGTTTTACAATGGAACAGAATCAACACCCTGTTCCAATTATTAGCGTCCCTATGTTGACTCGTCAACTCTAAAACACTACTTGTACAAGCTCTGAGCCGTAAGCCATTCTCGGAGTTCGACGCGGTACGGACTGTGTCCGTGTTTGCTCTGAATGCTATACGCAGCCATAATCTTAATAGGGTTTGGCGGTATATCAATGTAGTACGGAATCGGAAGGAATAGCATCACCCTTGAACTTTCGGGTTTGAGGGTTTCATCCTTAAGTGTTCTGGTTTAGGATCTCTTACCTCTCCCTCCTTGAGAACCACGTCTCCGTCATTTTAAAGTACCCTAACCCAAATTCTCGACCAAGACTCTCCAGCCGCCAACTGCTGCCTACTTGTAGGGTATCATGGGGAAGTAAAGGCTGTCATTTTTTGTTATATAGGGATTATACTACCCAAAAAAGGTTAAAGGTTACAATCTCTACTACGAGGGCTGTAAACAACCAAGGCATTAAACCCTGAAAAGGCTAAACCGCCCCAGCCCGATATTTTACTGACTGGAGTCTTTTTGGGCTGCTCTCAGCAGGTCCATCGCATGCAAGCAGAACCGACATGCCCCCGGGCTATCAAGATATGGGGTTTGGGGCGTGGCTTCAAGTGTGGGACTAACTTACTAAACCCTAAACCCTAAACGGCCAAACCGACACCACGTCCCAAGAGGCAAAGGTCAAGAGCTTACCTTGAACTACCCCTGTCGATTTCGCTGTAGGACGCAGGGTTCACAACCACAAGAACCAAATCCCACATGTTTATCATTGAAGCCTTGAAGGCCGTTTTACGATTTAGGGTTTGGGTTTAGGGTTTAAGGATTATAAGTGCGGTCCCCAAAGCCTTACCCTAAGCATCACTGTATACGGTCAGTCTGTTGGTTAGAGGGGGGGTCCTGGTGGAACCCCTTTGCCGGGTTCTTGTTAAGGGATTAAGGGATTTAATTTTAGTTGCCATAATAGGCAATCGGGTTCCATCGTATATATATATATATGTATATGTGTAGGGTTTCGGATCGAGTCTCGTTAGGAGACATTGCCGCTGACCCCAGTGCTTAGGGTAGAACCGTGTGCAGCCATCGGAAAATTTGCTGCACCACCGTCGCCCTCCTGGCATCGCCGAGCCAGGAAAGCACGATCGAAGGCGAGAGCGAGACTCCATAAAGCTCGCGGTCTCCGCCTACAGCCACTGCCAGCCGACCTCAGTCGGCTATCGAGCCACCACACACGGCCGTGCTATCGAGAAATCCGCCCACTCCGGATGGGAAAGCGTGGCCAATGGCCAACCAAGGACTACGCCGACTACGATGGCTCTTGGTCCCAGTCTGGCTGGGATGGTTGGCAGGATCCCCGCCAGCCCAAAGGGAAAAGCCGCGGCAAGAACAAGGATGCGCCCCGCAAGCCGAAGGAAGACACGGCCTTCCCGACCTACGAGGAGATTACCCTGCCGGGCAAGAGCACGGGCAAAGGCCGCGGTACCACCTCCTCGGGCAGCAAGGATCAACCGGCTGGACCGAACAGTATGGCCAAAAATGTTCAGAAGGCAGTGAACAACCTCCGGCGGTGCGAGAACAAGATCCGCCGCCTCGACGAGGAAACTGCAGAGACCCAGGAGAAGTGGCAGGAGTTCCAGGCGCAGCTCAAGAAGAGTTTCATTACAGAACGAGCTCGCTTCCATACGAACATGTCCCGCCTGAGCACCGAGAAGTCGGAACAGGTCGCGCTGCAGGAGGAGGCGGTGGAGGTGCTCCAACATGTTCTGGATGGCACCGTGCCAGACGCCGGCCCTACGGAAGAGCAGCCGCCCGCAGAGGCCCAAGCTGCCTGGGACGAGCTGATGCAGGAGGCAGAGGAGGCCGACGACCTCTCCGGCATCCTCAGCGGGGCCATGCACGACAAGATCTTGCAGAACGAAGGCACCCGTCGACAGCTACTACATCTCCTGCAACGCCACCGTCGCCGAGAACAGACCTTGGCTACCTCGACTCCACCCAAGCGACCCCGGACGGCGGCTCCTCCTACCCCTGCAGACAAAGCTTCGGCGCCTCGCAAGGAAAGCCTTGTCAAGGACACGACGACGGATGCATGGTGGGAAGGGGCACGGAATGCCGAGCCCTATGTGACCTCCCCCTCGACCAGGACAACAGGGCCGGACGCGAACCTCGCATCCGAACGGCCACCTTCAAGACCCCGGACCTCCACTCCGAGAGCCCCCGTCAAGGCGCGGACCAAGCCGAGCCCTGTCAACACTTCCCGCAGATCCTTGGCGGAGAAGCTGGAGGACAGTCGAGCAGCCGCGGCGGACATCGGGATGATCAGCCTGGATTCCGAGGACGACCTCCTGGACAACCTGGCGAACAAGGGCGACACGGAACCACCCCGCGAGGTGGACTAGGAGATATATCAAGATGCGGGGTCAGGCTTTTTCGGCCTGTCCTGACCCCGCCGCAATCCTCCTTCTATGAGTCCTTTGGTGGCTTTTTCGGTGAGTCCACCAACATCTCCCCAGCTCATCTTCCATTGGAGTCTGGGCCCTCCACCTGCACCATAAGTGTCCAGGGCGATTTTGTTTGGCACGGCCCTCCGGGAGGCCACGACCAAGTTCTATACAGCAGGGCATCCGCTGGAAGGACCCCTAGCGACGCCCCACCCCAAGCCGACCAGAACAGCACATGGCTGGTCTTCGACCTCTACGACATCGCCCACATCCTCGGGGACTACCTGTACTCCGACCTCCATCGAGGCGTACACAACTATGGCATGGTTGCGGCCTCCACACTCGGGCGTACTTTAGCTCTTGTCCTGATGGGTGCCCAGCTCGTCATCCTCACCGCCCACCTTCGATGGCATCGCCCCTTTGCTGCCCGATGGACCACATCCCGGGCCACTTGGGTACGAATGCTCTTGGTTTTCTCAGCTTTGCTGGTTCCGGCTGCAGCAGTATCAGACCAGTTTCCTGCACGTGCTCCACTGCCAGAGTGTCGTCCTGGAAGGCTCCGGAGGCTACCACCAGCCCCGTTTTGGCAATCAGGGACGCCCACTGCCCGGGAGCAACTGGCACATGCCCTACAACGAGAGGCCCTCAGTCGGCCCCTCATGAGCGGTGGTGTTCATCCACCCAATGTACATCCAGATGGGCCCACCGTGCTGCATGTCCCACCTGAGCCCATTGCCCCCGACTTCCACGAGCCTGAGGACTTGCAGCCATGGACCGATGACGAACCGGAGCACACCACGCATATCTCCTTTAGGCTCCTCTCGCCCTTTATCGAGGCTGAGTCCGTTGACATCGGAATGATGTTCCCCCTCCACCAGGACCGAGTCCTTGAGTTTGTGCGGGAGTCTTCGCGATACCAGTCTCGGAACTGGCTGGACCACGCCGTCTTCACGATCCCCCAGTTGCACGAGGACTACGGCAGCGTCCTCGTCTTTCCAAGTTGGGTGACTGCGACGACCACGAAGGCTCTGGTTATAGATGCCTCAGCGGCTCGAATGGGTGTCTTTGCCTTCTACCATGCTGGGCCTATATCGCGCCAAGACGTGCTGAACGAGCTCCTGGAAGACGACGATAATATGGAGGACTTCGTTGTCTACGCCCTCGGCGATACCTCACCGCTTGTCCATGGGAGTACTATCACCCCTCCGCAAGGCGGTGTCTTCAAGGTCCTGCATGTGGACCAGCACATACAGTGGGCCTCCCTGATCGAGGAGCGCTTCGACCGGCCTGAACGATGGCGACCCGACACCGACCACCTGGAGCACCAACCTGGCAAGCACATCTTCTTCCAGTATGAAGACATGTACCACCTACATCGGGTCAGCGGTCCTCACCAACCCACGCCTGACCTTGTTGCTGCGACAGCTTTTGCTCGCCAACTCGACGAAATTTGGCTACGGGCACCCACACAACGACCCGAGGGGCTTTACTGGCGAGGGCACCGCGTTCATAGCCTGATCGCGGTCATTGACGAACGGACTCACCCAAAGCAGGAGTACCACGTCGTGCACCTTGACCTCCGGGGCATTGGGCTCTGGCCGCGGTGGGTAGCGGTTGAGGGTCGCCTTTTCCACCCCGGCGACTGCTTGGAGCAGATGAACATCGAGTATGTCGAGGGCTTCTCCCTAGTCGTCAAGGGGGGCAAGAAGGAGGGCAACGACGGTTGGATCAGGATCCGCGACGGAGACCTCATCGAGGTCTACCTTCGCCTCACCGAGGAGCTCACCCCCACTTCGCAGCCCTCCTCGGGTGAGAATGATTCCTCGTCTGACGGGACCGACAATCTCCCAGACACTCCGGACGAAGACTCTCCACCACCGCCGAATGGCCCAGGGCCCTTCGGCCCCCCTCGGCCCGAGCCAGTCAACCGCCCTCGCAGCAGGAGCCCCCGACGGGACCCAACGGAGACTACTGAGGTCTGCCTTGCCGCCTGCCTTGCTCCTCCGGTCTTCAACCTCGACCAGGAAGTCGTCCAGCTACCGCATCTGCCCACTCTAGCTGGACAATTGACACAGACTTGGGCACCAACCTGGCTCCAGTTTGATCTGACCTGTCTCCCCCTCAAGGAGATCACTATTCAGGCCACCCGCGACCTGATCCATTGGGCCCTCCTGCTGGCCTCCATCGACGAAGCAGTGGCCCCCAATCTCCACATTTACTCTGATGGCTCCTACGACCCCCACCATGGCCTGGGCGGATACGGAGTTGCTGCTCTACTCGAGCACCAAGGACAATGGGCATTATATGGCCTCCTTGGGGATGGTACTCAGGGCAATGTCACCTCCCCGTGGACAACTACATGTTCTCCGGCCCTCTTCAACGAACAAGCTGGACTGATGGTTGTCCTACTTTGGCTGGTGCAGAGCCGCGGCTTCATCTGCTTCAACCACATCACTGTCCACTTTGACTGTATGGCGGCCGGCCTTGCTGCGGATGGCTCAGCTTCAGCTACCAATGGACTGGCGCCCGCCCTCCGAGCGCTACAACATTTCACAGCTGCGGCCCTGGGCCAAGAACCCCGGTTCTCACATGTGCGTGCACACCAAGGAGAGCCCTACAACGAATTGGTTGATGTTGTTGCTAAAGCGGCCGCTGCTGGCAATGACAGCATCCCACGGCCCCCACCAGATCTATGTCGCCTCGTCCAGAGCAATGACCTGTCGTGGTTGGCGGCATCGGTTGACCCATCGTGGACGGGCATTTTGCCCATCAACCTACATGGCCTGCAATGGCAAATGCAGGACGACTTTGGTCCCTCACCCCTGCAGGCCACTGACCTGATTCCCACCTCCCGGCCTGCTACGACAGGTACATCCACAACCGAGTTCCAGACTGTCCTCTTCTCGCTGAATGCACAAGGCCTTGGCGGCAAGGAGCGCTACTTCGAGGACCAACTGGACAAGATGGGGGTGAACATAGCCATGTTTCAGGAAACAAAGTCCAAGGGAGGACTATGCCAGTCGGCCCGGTTCCTGCGGCTATCCACCAACTCGGACCGCCACTGGGGTGTGGCTATCTGGCTTAGCAGGACACGGGGCATTGGTAGCTTTGGCGATTCCCCGTGCACCGTCGAAGAGGCTGACATCCACCTGCTGGCCCAGACCAACCGCCTGCTAGCCCTCCAAATCACCAAGGGCGGGCACCACTTCGTGGTCATCGCTGGACATTGTCCACATGAGGCCAAGCTCTCTGAGGCCAGGCTCTTCCTCCAGGACCTGGCGACCCTCCTCAACGACCACAAACATTCCTGCCTTGTCTTTGCAGGTCTTGACCTCAATGGAAGGCCAAGACTGGGCTCCCTGGGAGTCACCGGCTCCCTCCATTTTGGTGAGGACGAGCATGTGGCTCCCATCAACATACCCCGAGCTTCACCAAGGCCAATCGGCAACATTCCGACACCCACAAGGTTCGCTCCACCGACTTGACTTCATTGCCCTAGGGGGGGTCGCTCTGCCGTCGGATGTGGTCAGCTGTGTCTCGTCAACCTTTGACACAGGGGCTGCTCACGACGATCACTGGCCAGTCTTTCTTGCTTTGCGTGCGGCCGTGGCCCCCCGACATGACCGACCTCGCCTCAAAAGGGAGAAGTTCGACATCGACAAGCTGCTCACAAAAGAAGGCCGTGCACTCTTCGCGGAGGAGCTTGAACTCTTCCAACATCCCTCCTGGACATGTCACCCTGACGCTCACTATCAGGCTGTCCAGGGACATATCCTTGGGATCATGCGCAAACATTTCGCCCTACCTGCACATCGGCCTCGAGCAAGCTTCATTTCGCAAGCGGTATGGAACCTCAGGGACTGCAAACAGCTCCTGAAACACAAAACGCGATTTCGCAAAGATTTGTGGGCGGCGCTATTGCATCGAGCCCTTCTTCAGTGGCGTTATGCAACCGACTACTCGGTCCAGCAGCTCGTCGCCAAACAGGGGATCCTGTACCAGCTCACTGCCGCGGCAATCACATTTGCCACGCACCGCATCAAGGCTGGCATCCTTCAGTGCAAGATCACCTTCCTTCAGTCGTTAGCGGGTGACCCCAGCAAACCCCCAGGAGCCCTACTTCGACAGGCCAAGGCTGCTGGAGTTGGAGGTGCGAAGGCCCGACCGGTTGCCCGGCCACTGCCCCAGCTGGTTATGTCCGCTGGCATCCCGGCAGTCTCTCGTGCTGATCGTGATGCCCTTTGGATGTCACACTTTGGACAGCAGGAACTCGGTGTGCAGCTTTGCACGGATGCCTACCTGCAACAGCATTGCACACCGCCCTACCTCGACACCTCCGTCAACTGGACCATCACCGATTTCTTGTCGCTCAATGACATCGAAAATGCAGTCCGCCAAGCCCCCCGCAAGAAGTCGCCAGGCTTGGACAACATCTGTGGGGAGATGATGACTGCAGCCCCTGGCCCCTTCGCGAAGCTCTTGTTCCCCATCTTCACCAAAGCCACGGCGCATATGTGCCAGCCAGTCCACTGGCGAGGCGGCATACTGTTCGAGGCCTACAAGAGAAGCGGATGCAGCTGGGACCCCCAGTCCTATCGGTCCTTGTTTGTGTCCTCGGCGGTGGGAAAGTGCTTTCACAAAGCCTACCGCACGAAAGCACAGGACATTATCAACAGCTCCCTCCACGGTTTTCACATGGGAGCCCGCCGACACTGTCCGGTCACACTACCTGCCCTCTACATCCTGGCGCATCATCGCCGAGGTCGTGAGCAAAAGCAGTCCGTTGCGACCTTCTACTTGGACACCGAAGCGGCGTACTACAGGGTCACCCGACAATTAGCCTTTGGCAACCTTGACAACGACGAATCCGTCATCCGCGTCTTCAAGCACTTCGGTCTCGAGCCTTCCGACGTCGCGGAGATGATGGAGCAAGTCGTCCTCGGGGGCATGGCGGCCGAGGCAGGCATGTCCGCCGCCATACGGCATTGTCTCAAAGACTTCCATGCCAGGGCCTGGTTCACCACGATGTATTCGGATGGTGCCACGCTGACCCAGACAGCTGCCGGATCACGACCGGGTGAGTCATGGAGTGACATTGTTTTCGGCTGGGTTTATTCTCGACTTCTGGCCAAGGTCACCGAGCATGCCATAGCCGAGGAACTCATTGAGCACCTCCCTGTTGACATGGCAGCTGGCCCCTATTCCCAGGCCGACACGGGCCTTCAAACCGCGACGTCCGACGCCACTTGGGCTGACGACAGTGCCTGGCCACTGGCCCATGCCGTCCCAGACCAGCTGGTTCGGAAAACGAAGCGCCTTTGTGCGCTCATCATTGAGTTCTGCTGGCAGCACGGTCTGAAGCCGAACTTACGACCTGGGAAATCGGCGATCATGATGACCCTCCGCGGTAAGGGAAGCCGTGCTGCCAGACGTGCTCACTTCACTGATGGTGGCAAGACCCTTGAGCTATCCCAGCTTGGGGTCTCGGTCCCCATTTCCAACCACTACAAACACCTCGGAGGCCTTCTGGACGGCGAGCCCACCCTCATGGCGGAAGCCCGACGTCGGACTGCCATAGCGGGGTCAGCTTACGAGGCGGGCACGAAGATCCTGTACCTGAACCCTCGTCTACCTCAGGACACCAGGATTGCCCTCTTCAAAGCCGCCATCGACCCGGTCTACTTCAACTTGGGGCTCATGCTGGACCGAGGTCCAGCCTGGACCACTTTGAGCGAAGGCTACTCTCGTCTCCTACGGCGACTCTTCGTCAAACAGTGGGGCGGAGACGAGGCCTTTCACCTTCCGCTCCCGGCTGTGCATTTAGCTGCCAAAGCGCCGCCGCTTGAACACCTGGCCAGGCGAGCACGGCTCAGTCTCCTTTGCTCCATAGCAAAAGCAGGCCCGCCCGAACTGTGGGCCATGCTGCAAGCTGAACAAACCTGGCTGGCTCAACTTCGTAACGACTTATCTTGGCTGGTCGGCGATGACAGTGCGACATGGCCGCCCCAGGACGCCGCGAGCTGGCCTGAATGGGTGGCCCTGTTCAGAGCCTCCACGCCCTGGTTCAAGCGACAAGTCAAACGTCGCTTCGCCGAGGAGATGAAGGGATACGTCAGGACACAGTCACTCAACCTCACGCTGTGGGCACTGGCACAGCGTACTCGAGAACGACTTCCTGCCCCCCGGACAACCCCGGCGGAATGGTGTTGCCGTATGTGCAGCCGAGCCTTCAAAACTCGGGCAGGCCTCGGCGCTCATTTTCGTAAGACCCACGGCAGGATTGCACTATACCGGACCGTGGCACAGGGCACTACCTGCTCAGCATGTGGCAGGGAGTTTTGGCACCTGCACAGACTCATGGTTCACCTCCGCGATGCACCCAAGTGCACGGCAGCGCTCCGCTCACAGGGTGTAACCGTACTTCGGATTCACCCTGGCATCGGCAGCAGAGGTTGGCGGCATGCCGACCAGGACAAGGACAAGCTCGCTCCCTCCTACCAGTGCTCCGAACCAGCAGCACCGGGAAGCCTTGGGAGCGAAGCTGAGCCAGTCAAACGAGCTCATGCGACATTGTGTGATCTCCTTCTTGAAGGGGACCTCCCCAAGACTCCCGCGAAGCTTACTGAGGTCATCCGTGGTGCACTGGCCACTGAGCCGCTCTACCCCGAGGAGATCGACTACATCCTGCGCAAGACCCAGGACGAGGTCAACGAGGTCTCGGACGAGCTTCTCGACGGCATCTGGCACCGTGACGACCTTCCGGCAGTCATCCACGCCCTCGATGCCATGCAGAACGCCCCATGGCCAGCAGTCCCATCGCGAACTGCCCAACAGGCGACGACAGCAACCAGCTTCGCGGAGTGCACCTGCAAGGACTTCGACTGGAACCAGCTCCTCACCTCAGTCCCTCCTCACGGGACCCCTGAGACGCTGCAAATTCACCTGCCTTGTAACTGGGAAGCCAAGTGGTACAAAGGCAGTTGCAACGTTGATGACTTGGCCGTGAGCACACGACCCTGGTCTTTTGTGCCACCAGAGCTCCAGCAAGCATGGACGGCAACCCTTGAAGGGCTTAAGCCACAGCTCCATGCTGACAGCAGCTTCTGGTCTTGCCCACTCAGCGTCCCGTTTTGGGGGATGCGGGCTCGTTTGCAATCTAATTAGGCAGCGTCGTACTCTGACCGCATCCAAAGTCCAAATGTATATGTGTATATATATATACATATACATATATATATATATATATATATATATATATATATTGGTTTCCTTATTGTTATGGTAACTTAAATTAAGCCCCTTAACAAGAACACAGGTTGAGGTAACGCCCTAAACCCTAAAACCTCAACCCCTTTGGGGTTTTTGCTTTTTTGAATTCGGACTCACTGGAGCAGCTGAGCCGAGCGAGAGACCAGCAAAGCGCGTCCGCCGATGACCGGCAGCATCTGCTCTCTTGCAGTGTAGAGTTTAGGGTTTTAGGGTGCAGGATTTAGGGTTTAAGTTTTAGGGTTTAGGGTTCAGGGCTTTAGATTTAATGGGATCTGCAAAGTCGTTTCGGTCTCTTGAGAAGGTTTAATAAGTTATTCCAGGAGTCCCTGAGGGTGGGTTTCTACCGGATGTGCATCTGCTCTCTATGCTTTACTGGGATCTGCGAACTCGTTTCGGTTTCTAACTATAAGGGTTCAAGAAGTGCTTCTATGAGACTATGAGGGTGGGTTTCTACCGGATGTGCCCATGGGCAGCAAGGCTGTGTGACTTTGCATAAGGCTCTTGCTCAGTGTTGTTTGAACCGTTTACGATGCCGATTTGATCGAACTTTCGTTCGGATTGAAACACGACGTACTATGCCTTGTCTTCCTGTAGTTCCTATAACTACAGCACACTCCAAAAATTGCCCCAGAGCCTTACACTTAATTCCGGTTCTGATCACTCAGGGCCCTGTGTCTCTTGCTTCCCCAGTATCCAGTAACCCCAAAAGTGTGTCTGCGCTACCCTGAACCCTAGAAGAGGTAGACTTTATGATTGCCTGAAAGAAAGCTCAATCGTATTGCCACGGTTGCTCCCCTCATTGAATCATAGGCACCCTAGACCCTAAATTACGACCTCAGACTCAACCCTCAATAAGAACCCGGTCAGACGTCCCACCCTAAACCAAAGCCCCGAACGCGAAAGCCTGGACCACCATCCGGTCCAAGCAAGTTTAGAAGGAAAAACGTATATGTATCCGTGTATATATACATATATATATATATATATATATATATATACCTATACATACACCGGAGTTTCCGAAAATCATATAGTACCCTAAATAGTGAGATCCTTATTATTTATAAGGACCCCCCGAAAAAAATCGGAAACTCCCACATGTATATAAATATATACAACCCGCGAAGCCAGTGCTCCTTCCCAGTTCCGGCCTCCTGCAGGGCTCGCTGGGGCTCTGCTGAGCGACTCCTAAGAACAGAAGCGCGGAAGAGGACAG